GCAATTCTTCTCTTGATTTCCTGGCTGCTGTTACCAAGAGTGTTGATTGTGGAGCCAAGCAAACTGAAACTGTTAACTATCTCAATCTCTTCACCATCCATTTCTACTAGGACAATACTAAGTCACAGTATGGTAGTTTTTAATGTTATCATTCATGAAATCGTACATGTTTAGTGCATTTTGAGAGGCATTTGCAGTCTTCCTTTAAACAGTGGGCCTTGCAGTTTGACCAGACCAGGGCTGGACATTGGTGGGTTAATTTTTTTGGAGTCTTTTTCTACAATCAAGAGTCAGGTCCTCTGCTGGCATCTCATCCTGCCTATCCCAACACTGTAAGTGACAAGAGCCCCTCCTCCTCTTCTCAGACATGGCCCCTCTGAGGGGGAGTCCACCGAGTACATGTCACAGGCCCTGTCTCTTCCAGTCTGCATACCTCCAGGGGGGAAAAACCGACGCTCTGGAGTGTGTTTAGGATGATAAGGGGCACTGGTGGCCTACTGGTAAGAAGCTGCGCAGCAATTCCAAAGGCACGCAGTTCAAATCCACCAGTTGCTCTGTGGGAGAAGGATGGACAGTCTCCTTCTGTGCAATTAACTGCCTCTGAAAAATGGCCGGAAGGTCAGCAACGGGTCAGTTTGACTCGATGTATACAACAACAAACCTTGGTTCTACAGAGTAGTGAGGCTGATTTATTCTAAGAGAAAACTATCATGCTTACTCTCTTTAAACCTTTGAGGGTTTGTTGTGTTCAAGTGCTCCCTGGAGGTGCATATGTTAACATACTTGGCCACTCACTGAAAAGCTGGACTCTACCCACAGGAGCTTTGGAAAGGCCTGGTGACCTACTTCTGAAAAAAAAAAAACACAACAACCCCAAAAACTAGTCATAAAAAACCTTATGAAGGATATTTCTATTCTATGCATATGGAGTTCACATGGTTGGAGTTGATCTAATGATACTTGATCTGCCTACAGTAAGGGTGAGCTCCCTGTCCCTGGAGGTATGTAAGTATCAGTGAGCAATATTTAAGAAGAGACTCATGACCTGAGAGTGAGGATATGCTAGGCGCGTGGCTTCCAAGCCCCATGTCCTGGTCCTGAGTGTCTTTAAACGTCCTTGAAATGGGATGATAAGAGTTGAGAATGTAATGAAAGAAGTCCACCGAAGTGAGATCCAAGCTATAAAAAAAAAATCTTTATTTCATGTACCAGGATTTTTTTTTTTTTTAGTTTTCTGCTTTTTAAAATTTTTTTCTGTTAACAGTCTGAAAAAAAAAAAATAGGACCCACCAAGAAAATAAAATGGAGGTTGGTTTCTTAAACTGACCCGAGCTGGACGTGAGCAGTCAGCCACTCTGGGAAGCAGTGCCCGGGCTGTCTCCAGCTGGCTGCCTCTGTCCCTCAGCACCCCCAGCTGTCTCACAGCCATGCTCACCCCCATGCCCGGTTTTCTTCAAATAGACCCAGACCCCAAACCTCACAACATGAAAGGAGGGACTGATTGCACCCCAAAAGCTTTGCCCGGTGGAGAACTGAGGCTACTTCTGTCCTGGGATTGTGCCCCATGTTTGCACTTTTCTGGGGCCTCTCCTTTCTCTCCAGTCCGTGATCCCCTCTAGTTGGGTTCTGAAGGGACTGTGGGCAGGGCTAGAGTTGGGGGAGAATAGGTGTTTGTCCAGGGTGCTCTGCTTGTGGCCCTGTGGCCCTTGGGAACTTCTGGGCTGGGCTGTGTCATGTCCTGCCTTGTAGCTCCAGCTGGGTATCTGTCCTCCAGTGGCTGCTAAGTTTCTTTCCCCAGACCAAAGGACTTCAGGGAAGAGCAGCAGGGGTAGCAAGCCTAGGAAGCCCTTCTCACTGCTCCCTGGGGAACTCCCCAGAAAGCTGACCTTGGAAACTCCAGGCCAGGCGAGTGGAGAGAGGCGCCTGCTTTCAGTGGGATGGCACACAGGCTGCTCTGAAAGTCTAGCTTGGGGTAACATCTAGGGTCCTCTCCATCTCAAGTGGCCCTTTTCATTCTTGGAAAGAAAGGAGAACACCAGGACACCCCAGCTTTCTTCTGGGGTGTGACTTTTGGGGCTGGTCTTCACTTTGGGAAATGAACTTTGTGGACACTCTCTATCCCTTCTACCATAACATTTCCCACATGACCCTTGACCCTGGGGGGGGGTGTCTCCTCTTTCTTTGACCTCAGAGACAGTGGGGGAAGGCTGGTGGAGATGTCTAACAGCACGGAGGTCTCCTTCACCCTATGACTGGGCTGTGGCATTAAAGAAAGGGGGCAGGGAGTGCACAGCAGTGTTGGGGACCTCTGATGACTGTTCCTCTTTGCCTGAGCAGCAGGATACGTTTGCTCACATGAGTGCATTTTTGCTTTGACATTGGATGTGGGGGTAGGGGTTGGGGAGCACAGTGAGGAGGCATATGGTGTGTGTGTGTGTGTGTGTGTGTGTGTGTGTGTGTGTCTGTTGGAGAGGCTGACTGACCATCTGGAATGTTTCAATGTCTGGGGGCTGGATGGCAGGTGTTTTGGTCGTCCTGAATCTCTCCCTGGGCAAGTGGTGAGTCTTAAAAGTCGTGGATGTGAAAAATGAGAACTGGCCTTTGGGGTGCATCTGGGTCAGATCACACCTCTGAGTCACACAGGGGGGAGACTGAAGCCCAGAGAGGCCAAGCAGCAAGGAATTCTAGAACTCTAGAATGTAATCTTGTGCCAGCAAGCATGGGTGTGTGTGTGTGTGTGTGTGTGTGTGTGTGTGTGTGTGTGGTATGTGGGAGGGCATAAGTACGCATAAAGGCCAGTGTGGAGTTGTCCATGGCTTTGGAAAGCAAGTGAGTCTTCTGGAAACGTGTCTGTGCCAGGAGACGGAAGGGTCTTGGGATGAGATAGCATCTCTGTGACTGGAGCTCTAAGCTGAGAGAACTCTGGGTGTGAGTGAGAACGTGGATGAGTTTCTATGACTGGACGCGTGTGTGCTCATGCACATAGTGAGCGTGCATGTGTGTATGCTAATAGTGACGGTGAGTGTACATGTTGTTTGTATGGTGTGCGAGTGTGACGGTGTAGTGTGTGTAGGTGTCTCTGTAGCATGAGTGTGCAGATGCATGAATGAACGTGTGATGGTGCTGCATCTGTAGGATGAGTCCGTGTGTATACATAAGAGCGTGAGCATGTGTGCATGTGACTGTGTGTGTGGCATGTGTAGTGTGCATGGTGTGAGTGTGTGTGACTGTGTATGTAGCATGGGGAGCGTGTATGGTGTGTTTGTGTAGTAGGGTGCGTGGTCCGCTTCGTGTAGACCCGATTCTCTATGGTGATTCTCTCCCATGGTAGCAGCACCTTCCTGGCATCAGGAAGAGAGATTTTCTCCCAGAATCTCCCTGCAGCTGGCTCGGGCCCTTCCTCCACCCCGATCTTTAAGCCCAGCTCTAATCTCTCACAACGGTTTTTTTATTTTTTAAATTTTTTAAAAATGAATTTGTATATTTGTTTTCAGTTTTCTCTTTACAGGTTCCCTGCTAAATTTTAAGTCCCCCACCCCGCCCCATTTTTTTTTTTTTAATTTTCACAGTTTAAAGCTGGAAAAGAATTAAAAGAAAAATACTATCTGATTTTCTTGCAAGTAAATCCACTTATTAGATATTTACATTTATTTATACTCTGTGGTTTTTTTATTAAAAAAAAATCACCACTTGTTTTTCCTTTTTCTTTTGTAAAAAGAAACCTTTTTGCTGTATCATTGTTGGACCCGCTGGGCCCTGACAGGGCATCTGCGAGTCCAGGGACCCCCAAAGGGTCAGTGAACCCCCTTCCCAGGGAGCCTGGGGGGGCCTATGAGTCTAGGGGTCCACCATCACCTCAGGGTCACAAAGTGGCCCTGAGGTGAAGGGTGAGGAGGGAGAGCTGCTTTATTTCCCCCGGGGGTGGGCATCTCCTGACCTCTAGGACAGGACCTTGGGGATGGTGACCCCCAAGAGGCTCACCCTGAGGATTCGGGGGTCCTGGGCATCTAGGTAAGCCACCGGCAGCCAGCCCCTCCCCTTCCCTTCCGTCAAGGCCTAGGAAGTCATCACAGTGGGTTAAGGACCATTAAGGATTGGGAACCTAAGAGCTGGGCGAGCCCCAAGGGCACCCCCTCCAGGCACCGCAGGGCCACCTGGAGACCTGCCCCATCAACTTATGGAGCCGCTTGAGAGCCGCGGCAGGCCTGGCCTCCCTGGGGCACCCACCCTGGGCTCCAGGTACCTGGCAGTGACCAGAGGCCCACCCGACCTGGGGCCCCTGAGTCTCCACCCCCTCATGCTCCCAGGGAGGCAGAGCTTGCTTGGGGTTAAAGAGAACAGAAAAGTAATTCTCCCCAAGTTGGAAAAAAAAAAACACATCCCCAAACCCAAAACAAATAGTAACAGAAACCCCTGATAAATTGATAAATACAAAGAACCTCTCTTCCTTTCTGCGTCTTATCTTTTTTTTTTTATTTTTTAAATGTTATCTTGGTTCCCTTTTATTTTTTCATTTAAATTGGTTTTTATTAAATGTTAAAATAATGGTACATGGGAAATCATGCATTTTCTTTTAGATTTATTTTCTATTTTTAATTGTTTTTAAATCCCTCTCACTTTATTTTTTTCTCTAAAGTTTGTTTTCCTTCCCTCGTTTATTTATTTAGTGATTTGTTTCGCGTCTCCTGTTGTTGTTTTGCTTCTTTTGTTCCTCTTATATTTTGTTCTTTTTTTTTTAAATTTATGTGTTATGTTTTGCTCTTTTTTTGTTGTTTTTTTGCTTTTGGAAGGTTCCCCTTGGGTGGCTTGGTTCCCCCGCCCTCCCCCCACCCTCGGCTGCCCCCTCCCCGCAGGCCACGCCCTTCCTCCCAGCAGACCACGCCCTAGCACATACTGGCCACGCCCTCCCTCCCATAGGCCACGCCCTCCACCCCGCAGGCCACGCCCCTCCTCCCCGCTCTGCCCGGGGCCGCCTGCGAGTGGCGTGGTGGGCGCAGCCCCCGGCGGGCTTCATACTGGGGTGGTCCGGCGGTTGGCTGTGTTGGTGTGGAGAGAGTCCTTGTTCTCCTTCTGGATACAGTTGTGAACTTGGAGGAAGCTGTTATCCCTGTCGGAGTTGTAGGTGGCGGTGGGCGTGGTGGCGGCCTTCAGGGGGTCCCTGCTGAGGGTGTACATGGAGATCTCCGTGGAGGGCAGGGTGTTGAAGCCCTTGATGCCCACGGGGGAGGCGTCCCTGGAGTGAGAGGGCTCGGTGGAGCGGGAGCTGGATCGGCTGCGGCGCTGGTAGCGGTAGCGGTAGCTGGGGATGCGGGTGATGGCGGAGGCCTGGAGGTAGTCCGTGGCGCGGGCGGTGGCCCGCAGCTGTTTGTGCCGATCGATAAACATGTGGACGGCCAGCACTCCGACCATCTCGGCAATGATGAAGGACAGGGCCCCGAAGTAGAAGGACCAGCCGTAGGAGTAACTATTCTTTTTGGAGTCACTCTTGGAGGGGTCTCCGGCATTGGCAGATATGTACACTATGATGCCAATAATGTTACTCAGACCTGCGGGGCACAGGGTGGGCGCGGGCGGAGGGGGCAAAGGAGAAGGCGGGTTAGTGTCTGGGCAGGGCCGGAGGGTGGGGGGTGGGTGGAGGGAGCTGGTGTCCTCAAGGGGAGCGGTGGGGCTGGCCCCCTTAAACAAGCACGTGGAAACACGTGCACTGGGGTGAGGGGCGAGGGGAGCAGTCTACAATGTACAGAGACTCATTGCCAAGCCACTTCCAACTCATAGCCAGTTCCCGAGGCTGTAAATCACTCGGGAGGAGCCAGCTCGTCTTTCTGTGGGATTTGAGTTAGCCGATCAGCTTTTACCTACTAAACCACCCAGCTTCATGCCAAGCAGAGTAACTGTTGTTTATTGAGGAGTTCTGGTGGTGCAGTGGTTAAGTGGTGCTGTCAGTTGCCTTACTGAAAAGTCTGAACGCACCAAGCCCTTCCTTGGGATGGAAGAAGCTGGCACTCTGCTCCCATAAAGATGGCAGCCTGGGAGACACAATCTACACAGCAATAACAACAATGTTGCTTCTGAGTGTTTGCTGCCTGCCTGCTTTGCAAGCACTTTACAGATGCTCCTAACAGAAGCACAGAGGTTGAGGAACTTGGTTAAGGCTGCAGGGAGACATGCACGGAGGGGTTAAGGGTTAAGCCTGCTTTCTGTGGTAGCTGTGTGTGTGTGGCCTTCGGCAAGCTAACCCAACCTTAGGCTGCATTTCTAGGTCTGTAAAATGGGCCCAGGTCAGGACTTTGGGTTAAATGAGTTAATAGACATGGAAGCTCTAAGCCTGCCAAGTGGTGCTGACTGACTGTCAGCCTTTCATACCGTGTGGCTCTTCCTACAGCTCATGTTCTTTTCATGACAAATCACACTGGGCTCAGAAATCAAGTTTCAGGAGCCAGCCTGCACCTGGCTGGGTCAGCTCCTCCTTGATTTCTAGGATGGAGCTGGGTTCCACTTGGCGGTCCCCCCTCCATGTTCCCTGCCTCCAGCCTCCTGGGAGGGACCTGGATCTTGTCACTTTTCTAAGTGGTGATAGGGAGGTGCAAAAGATGAGACATTAGGCCCGGGGACAGGGTCAGAGGAAGTTCCTGGAGTTGAGAGGCTCAGGAATGGCTATGGGGCCACAGTACCCTCTTCCTTCTGGGTATAACCTGTTGGGAGGCCTGGAGCTTTTCCGCACTCCCCCTTCCTCTCTCTGCCGGGACTTCCCAATCACGGAGCACCCCAGCCAGCCTCCTCTCCACAGTGGGCTTCCCCCCCCCCCCCCCCGCCTGCCCGGCCCAGCCATGGTACCTGCGGACACAAAGAAGATGCCAGCACTCAGGATGATGTTGTGTCGAGTCTTGTAGAACTCGCTGGCCGCGATGCACAGTCCACCCATGAAGAGCAGAATCACGCTGAGGATAGGAAAGATACTCGACGCCCTCACGGCCCCTGGAGAACACAGAGGGCAGGGAGAGAGAACAGCATGGCCTTGAACCAGGGTGCAGGGGGAGGAGTGAGAGCAGTCCCTGGCAGGGGAGGTTCACGGACATGGGCCCCAAGTCAGGGGGATGGGCAATTACATCAGGGAGGGGAGAGGAGACGGCGAGGCCCTGCCTGATCATACCCTCCAGAGCTCCCCCTGCCTTCAGGCCCAAACGCAGACACCTGAGCTCAGCACATAAGTGCTGGCCTCTGCCTACCTGCTGGCCTCATGTCCTTGACCCTGACTTTTGGCACATAGAACTCTCTTACTGGAAATGTTGGTTCTGTCCTTCTTCACTCAGCAAACTCCTATTCATCCATCAAAGCCCATCTCAAAGTCTCCTCCTCCATGGAACCTTCCCTGACTTCCCTCAAAGCCATCAGTTCCCTCTGCACTGGGGTATTTGGGGCGTGTTGAAAAGTGGTGACAAGGAACCACTTGCTGTGCATTTGAATCTGGCTCTGGCATTTATTTGCTGCATTAAGTTTGAGTGAGTTGCATCACCTCACTGTGCCTCAGTTTCTCCATTTGTAAAACAAAGAGGGAACTGGTGCCTGCCTCCTAGGATGGCTGTGAGGACTGGATGAAATGGTTCAGGCAATGCATTTAGATCACTTTCTGGGAACTTTTTTTAGTAACAGGCTAGTAACTGATAATTGTGACACCAAATAGTTGTGTGGGTACTTCCACCCATGGTGAGGGTCGTCATGTGAGGCCAAGGGCTGCAGATCCTTTATAATTCTCTTTATTTCTCTGTCCCCAGGACCTAGTACATTGCTAAGGGCAGGGACATGGTGGACATACAGGCTCATTGAGGCATGACTGTGGTGAGGTGGTCCAGAGACAGGAAGAAGCAGATGATGGGGAGAAAATAGAAAAGAACTCCAAATTCAAACCAAATCAGAGTCCCTCAGGAGGAGGTGAGAAAGGACTGATAAAGGCAGAAGGGAGGGAGAGGCACAAATTCTCAGAGGGTGGTGGCTTCAGTGATGGTGGGAGGAAGAGGCGGGGTCAGCTGAGGCTGAGGGCAGGTGGCACTGGGGCGACAGGCTTAGTGAGCCTGGAGGCACACGGGATGCTTGTGTGTGTGCATGCACACTTTATAATGTGAACCCAGACATAAGAAAGAAAGTGTGTCAGGAACATCATTTTTTTCCCCCCTCCAAATAAGTACTGGGGTTCCTTGAGACTTTGACTCTGTGTCCTAGGGACTGGGCAGAGGAGGCAAGGCTGTCTCGGGCCACTGCGAGGGAAAAGGACATTATCTTTAACTGCTTTGCCTGCTTAATGACATCTGAGGAGGTTGGGTCCTGTTACCAGGGGGACCGGTGAGATGCTTGGGGCTGTGTTGAGAAGGAAGTGAAGGCCCCTCTTGGTGGAGCCCCTTCAAGGTAACTTCACGGGAGAGTCACAGAGAGTCACCTTACTGCCTTTTGGAGGGCGGTAAGGTGAGAAGGATCCATGGTGGGAAGACTCAGGGTTCCAGGCACTCTGCTGTGAGGTGTGTGACGCACACAGCTTCTGTGTGTACTGCAGGAATCTCCCATCAGGCCAACACTGCCCACTGAGGCCAGTGCGTGAGGGCTTAGTTTAGGGACTGGAAGGAGGGCTGGCTTTTGTATGTAGGTGAGCAAGTGCAGAGCTTAGCGGTACCTGTGGAAGCAGGAGCCAGAGGAGGGATGGGAGGCACTTTGCAGTCTCAGCATCCCTCCCTCTGGTCCCAGGCAGGGATGGGACCCTAGGAGGACCTAGGGGCTGCCACACTCCAATCTTGATGGGCATGTTCCCTCCCTGCAAATCATTTCCTAAGCTACACGAAGGATTTCCACTCAATCCACACACCTGCCCCCTCCTCACGCGTGTGTGTACACTTGCACCTGGGCTTGCTCACACATGTGCACACTCAGATCTATTCATGCACACACACGTGCATGGACAATTATGCATGCCTATCCTTACACACATGGACACCCCCTTCCTCTTCCATGCACACATGTGCACGGATGCCTGTACACACATGTCTGTGCACACACCACACCACCTTAATTCTCATCTTTATAGACAAATGGAGCTGAAGGCTTATTGAAGACCCAGAAGAGTAGATCTAGTATTTGTTCAGTATGTACATGTGTCAGAGACAGTGAAATTGGCTTAAGATAGAGCAGAGGTTCAGAGCAGTTGTACATAGGGTTGCTCTGGGTTGGAGTCAATGGCACATAACAACAACAACAACAACAAAAACAACAACAACATGTTCAGTGAACACCCAACATGCTTGATATTATTTAATCCTTGTAACAGCTTTCCTGGGGTGTTTTTTTTTTTTTTTACCCCACAGACAAGAAAACAGATTGGAGAAATTAAGTTGCTCAGGGCCACGTTTTTTTTTTTTTTTCT